AGATGTGTACTCATCTAAGATGTAAGCAGTGCATGGAGATGTGTAGTCATGTGACAAGTGTGTGGAGATGTAGCAAGTCATAAGATAATCCTTGAAGTATAACCTGTAGAGTAGGAAAAAAGCTGTTTCATATATTAAAAAAGAAAGGGTAATGATCTTTGCAAAATCAACGATCACAGTGATGTCAACACATGCCAATAATTGCACAATACTGAGTTGTTTAAAGCAATGACTCCTGTCCTACTTCTCTATCATACCTAGTTTTAAACCTATAAATATTGTTTGCTTCCACAAGGTGCTCCTTTAGTTTATTTCATTTCCCCACTACTCATGCTAAAAGAAAACTTTCTAACATCTCAATGACTCATCCTAGCTCCCAGCCATGTCCCCTTATTCTGTTGGTATTCCATGTGAACATTTTGTCTATCCCCACTCTGTCAATACCCCTAAAGTATTTTGTATGGTGCCATCATATCTCCCCACTCCCTCCTTTTTTTCTAACATCGTCAGGTTCAGTTCCTTCAGTTGTTCTTCATATCGCATCCCATGCAAACCCAGGGCTAGCCTCATTACAAATTTGTTAACCTTTTCCGGTTCCCTAATGTGTTTCTTTAGGTGGGGGCTCCATGATGGGGCTGCATACTCTAACAATGGTCGCACATAGGCAGTGTAAAGTGCTCCGAATACCTCCTCACTTAGGTTTCTGAGTGACATTCTAACTTTTGCTAGCAATGAGTACGCTGCTGTCGTTATCTGATTTATGTGTGCCTCAGGAGTTAAATTTGGTGTTACATCCACTCCCCAGTCCCTTTCTCAAATTGTCACAGGAAGGTAGTTTCCCTTCATTGTGTACTATACTTTTGGTCTCCAGTCACCTAATCCCAGTTCCATAACTTTACACTTGCTCATGTTGAACTCCAGTAGCCATTTCTTTGGACATCTCTGAGGCTTGTTCAAGTCCTCTTAAAGAATTCTACAATCCTCAACTGTCACAACTCATCTCATTAATTTTGTGTCATCCGTGAACATCGCCATATAGGACTTGACTCCTGCAGACATGTTGTTCACTTACGTATATTCGAAATAGAACTGGTCCCAGCACCGATCCTTGAGGTACATACTCCACTCGTTACGGTTTGCCTGTCTGACTTCTTGCCCCCTGACTGTTACTCTCTGGCTCCTGCTTGTTAAGTAATTCTTTACCCAAGCAAGGGCTTTTCTGCTTACTCCCGCCTTCCTCTTAAGTTTTAGTAGCAGTCTCCTGTACGGTACTGTGTCAAAGGCCTTTTGGCAATCCAGGCATATACAGTCTACCCATGCTTCTTCGCTCTGCCTTATTCTTGTTATTTTATCATAGAATTCCAGAAGGTTTGTTAGGCATGATTTCCATCCTCTGAATCCATGTTGGTGTTTGTTTACACACCTAATGTTCTATAGGTGTGTAACCAGTCTTAACCTGATTATTCTTTCAAGTACACTGTACTTTACAGAGGATGCTTGTGTGTGATGCTGGTCTATAGTTAAGTCCCTCTTCCCTATCTCTCTTTTTGAAATTGGTACCACATTTGCCTTCTTCCAGCAACTGGGCAACTCTCCCTTCATAAGTGACTCATTATAGATCCTTGCCAGAGGCACGCTGAGGCCCTGGCGCTGCCTCTTTTAGTATCCACGGTGATACATTGTCTGGTCCAACTGCTTTAGTTTCATCCAGTATTGTTAGCCATTTCATTTCCTCTTCTTCTGTCACTTCTAAAATCCATTAGTCTCTCATCTTGAGTCATCTCCTCTTCAATCAATGGGAGTTGCTTAGGCCCGGTTGTGAACACTCCATGGAAACTGGCATTCAGTACCTCGTAGATTTCCTTTTCGCTTTCTGCATATCTATTTCTGATTTCCTTAGTCTTGTCACTTGGTCGTTCACCGACATTTTCTTTCTTACATGACTATGTAGTACTTTAGGTTGCTTTTTTCGCAATATCATTTTCATAATTCTTTATGATACTCTCCTTACATTAATTAATGTATTCATTCCTAGCTCTGTTTTATTGTCCTCTGTCCTTTCTCCCCTCCCTCCTGCTTCTCATTTTTGCTTCCTGGCACTGTCTATTAAACCATGGGTTTTTACATTCCCTCCTACTTTTTTCTTTTACTGTTGGTATAAAACTCTCTTCGACCTCCTTGCATTTCCACTTGACTAAGTCCATCATATCTTGCACTGTTTTTCCTCTTAATTCTTCTTCCCACTGCACTTCTCCCAGATATTCTTATCCTCCTGTAATCCCCTTTCCTATAGTCTACTCTCCTTTCCCAGACCTCTTGACCCCGTGGTCAATATTTTACCCTCGATCATGAAGTCAAAAGACTAGAGCCAAGGACACAATGGTCCTTGGCTCCTACTGTTATGTCATGTTCCATATTCGTAATGTCCTCCTCATTCTGGGTGAAAATCAGGACTAATAGGCTTGATGTATTCCCTCCTCTTTCCCTTTTGTCTTCCTTCACATGTTGTGTTAGGAAATTCCTGTCTATATCTTCCACTAATTTTGCTCCTAACATTTCTTCCCAAACGTGGGGATTTCTTGATTCCCAATCAATCTCTCCATGATTGAGGCCCCTCATGACCAACAGTTTTGCTCTCATTCTGTGAGCTGTTGTTGCTACCCTCTGCAGTTCATCTATACATGTCTTGTTATCATATTCCTATCTTGGGCCTTCTACTGTTTGGTGGGGGGATTGTAAATTATCAAGATCGTAATCCTCTTCCCATCACCTATCAAAATCCCAAGTATGGAGCTTGTGTTTCCATTAGTCCCCTGATTCTCTAGTTCCTCAAATTTCCATTTCTGCTTTATGAGGAGTGCCACTCCCCCTCCCTGTCTCTGTGTCCATTCATTCCTTATCACTTGGTATCCCTCTGGGAAGATTGCATCCAAGATCATATCATTTATTTTAGTTTCCACTATTGCAATTATGTCTGGATCTGCTTCACTAACCCTTTCTTTTATTTCCTCAGCTTTATTGGATACCCCCATCAGCATTAGTGTACCAAACCTTGAGATTCTTCTTGGAAACTGTTACCAAAGTTCATGTAGCTCATTACCAAAGTTCATGTAGCTCATCTGCCTACCTGTCTCCCTCAGTGTGTGCTGCAGGTGATGGATGGATGAAGTCCTATCTCCAATAAATGGTGAAGGGGGATGAGAGGCTGAGGGGATCTGGGAGCCAGGGAGCTGGGAGCCAGATGGGGTCTGGGCAATTAGAGAGAGATGGGGGTGCAAATGTATGAATGTGTGTGTGTGGGCGTGTGTGTAATTACCTAAGTGTAGTTGCAGGATGAGAGCTACGTTCATGGTATCCCACCTTCCCAGCAATGTTTGTCATGTAATGCTTTGAAATTACTGACAGTTTTGGCCTCCACCACCTTCTCATCTAAATTGCTAACTTGTGTGTGTAATTACCTAAGTATAGTTACAGGATGAGAGCTACGCTCGTGGTGTCCCGTCTTCCCAGCAAAAACTTAATAATAGTGCTGTTGAAACCAAGATGATCCGTTTGCTGTGCTATTTACAAGGTGTTGGGATGACGGGGAAGGGAATTATCAAGGGAAAGTGCCGAGCCATTATGACTATATAGCACTTAAAAGGTGTCAGGATAAGGATTTGGGATAGGACAGGGGAAAGGAATGTTGTCCAACCACTTGGACGGTCGGGGATTGAACGCCGACCTGCATGAAGCGAGACCATCACTCTTCCATCCAGCCCAAGTGGGTGTTATAATATTGTGCATTTGTTCAATGATACTTTTTGTTTAAACTGTCATACTTATTCTCTGACTGCTTGTTCCTTCTGACTGTTCTAAGCTAATCTATACCTGCTTCTGGGTGTGTTTTGTGTGCACACACACATGTGCATGTGTGTGTGAGAGAAGGAAGATCAAGAGCTACTCCAAAACCAAAAAGCACTTTCTCACATAGTAGTGTGTGTTTGATTTACTAAACTGAAAGATTTCACATTGAAACCACAATAGAGAATGAAATACCATTATGTTTTAAAATGAACACTATGGAGATAATCATGCTAACACCCACAGTAAAAACTGGGTAAGAAATAGATTTTTGGTGTGACACTTCATCTTGACCACTGTCTGGCTCTCAAAAACATTTCCATCACTAAATGTAAATTAAGAAATAGTTTATCACAAAACTTTATTAAATGAAAGCAATGATTAAAATTGATTGCTTTATGAATGTAAAAAAATAAAAATAAAAACCAAGAGACTTCTACCAGCCAGACATGTTAAAAGTGAAGTGGTGCAAGTACCAAGCAACATACATAAGTACCGAGCCCATGACCAGATCCCGCCACACCCCAACGCACTCAATGCACAAACTTTACAACTTTGTAACTAATTAATAATTAACTTGCCTTGTTAACTACAAAAATGAATGTTTAAAGATATGTGCTAATCAATGTTTAAAAGATGTGCTAGAAATTATTTGGTACAAATTACTATATCTATAGCTACCATTGGCTTGTTTCCAACCATGTTTACCAGTGATGCAAGAATCATGTTGTAATTACTGTACTGTAATGTCAATGATCCTACACACTGACACATGCTACTATCTTCTCAATTCAGTATTTGTATTGCAGGAAGAGTGAAAGGTTATAGTGAAATTTAAGTCTAAATCTTGTAAATCTTCCTGGGAAGACCTCCTGGTAACCCTTATCCTCGGCTCTCAAGGGAAAAAAAAACACCCTAGTCAAAAAGTAGTAGATCCTAGTTGACGACTAAGAATTTGTATACGAGAAAAGCAGCCCAGTTTGTAAACATAAAAACTTGTGTCATATGGTCACTCAGGTGGTCTCATGGTAAGTTTTGGATTTATTTGCCAAAAATAAGATTCGTCAAGGTCTGGACGGGCACGGCACTTACGTGTGTTGTGGCTATTCAAGTATATTTAGCCAGCGGCCCAAGATGGACGCCCCCCGACTGCGTACCTTGTGCTGGCCACCCACCCCAGGACTGCTCTTTCCATTTCCTTTGGTATTTGCTTGACTTGTCTTGATGGAGTCCCGTCGTCCTATAACCACACGGCTATTAACACCAGTGCTGCTGCGTCCCAAGGGGGTGGCTCGACCTCCTTCCTGAGGTGAATTCTTCACAGTACACATTCTGGCATTCATGCTGGGAGCAGGTGATGAGCGAGGAGTGCCTGTTGGGGTGGCACGACCAGATTGAGCTAAACTGGGTCTACTACGAAGCCCAGTTCCACGTCCTATCGAATCTCTGCCTCCAGAAACTTCTGACCCAGATGATTCTCGATGACAGAGGTTTCCTCCACTATGATAAGATACATGTTGGGCACTCGAAGTTCCAACAGTAGACGTACTCCGAGTTTCTCGGCTTCGACGTGGAGGCTTTTCTACTGTCAATGGAACCTTGCGGCTTCCAGACTCAGATGATGTAGAGTTTACAGAACTGTTATTGGTCTCTGATCGTCTAGATTCCTCTTGATGCACCACAACATCATACTTGATGTTTGGGCCCGGATGAACAGTATGGGTGGCAGCCTCAACAGAGTCAGCTCCCCCACCTTCAGTCATGGTGGCTGTACTGAATACAAGCGGACAAACGCTTACTCCAACATCTTTCTGCTCAACATTTTCTCGCTGATCGAGCTGAGGAAAAAAATATAATTTCATATATTAACACAAATTTATTTTACACCCTGAATCGCATATTTAGTAAAAAGAATATGACATTTAAGAAATAATGTTGTGTATTGTACAGTATTTACTTTATGACTATTGCAAATACAGTACAGTAGTAATCACAAAGTGAGAAAATACTTACTAAAGATACTATACCATATTTGATATGGTTGTTATTATAAAGTCCTGCATTAATTACCAGCTTATGCTGAGGAATATATTACAAGGATATTTCCCCTTGAAAGTCTGTGATATGATTTAAACAGTAAAAATATTAACTTTTGTCAATTCTGCCTTTAAATACACATTATGATAATTCAAGATTCTGCTTTTAGTAGCCAACAATGAACATAGGGTGAAGCTCTCAGCATGCAGATTGCCACATGAATTGTGCCAAAGGTTAAAATATGTACAAATGTACCGTACAGTTCAGGTTTTTCAAATACAGAAACCTAACTGCGTTTTACAGTAATAATTAATCACAAAAACTTGTTGTTGTTGTAAGGTCAAAAGACATACTTGTCTCCAGACTGAAAAATACTGTACAAATACAAATCTTGAATATGTATCAAGGTAAAGATAGACTCCAACTATACATGTCATAAAATGACAGAAACCTTACTTGTATCTTAAAGCTAGAATTAACAGACAGAGACGTTACTTGTGTCTTGAGGCTGAGGTTCTCCTCCCGCAACGCAGTGATGGTGGAATGTGTGTGTCGGTGCTCTGCTTCCCACTCTGCTGTTTTGCACACCCACTCCTCACTGGCTGTCTCAATCTGCTTTCTCAACACCTGCACACATCAACACTCCATTACATTTTGATGCAATATATATATACTACTGAATTTCATTTAAATATTTACACACAAAAGCTTTATTTTGATGTATGTGAAAGTAAATTTGAAGAATTTATTTTGTATATGCAAGCCAGGTGCTTAATAAGTGTAACAAACTACTGTAAATTAAAGTACTACAGTACTGCATATTAAGAAACTGTATATCAAGTATCTAAATTACACAAGCACTTGAGTAAATAACATTAGTACAAAGGAAAAGTTAATAGTGATTTTGAAGGAGAAAGAAGCCATGAAGAAAAGAACTTTAGTGACATGTCTGGTGTATATGAAGGTGTTTGGTTAAGACTGCACAAACTGGAATGATGAAGTGGCAAGAGAACTTGATAAGAAAAAATGTTTTTTTTTTATGGAGAGAAAGTGGAGAGAGAAGAACACAGATAGAAATATGATTAGTGTAAAAGGCCCACAAAGGTGTGTAAAGTTAATGTCTACATAAAAACTTACATACTGCATGGTTTAAGTAATCTCCAATGCAACTCATCCTCCTAAAATGATAGTACTTATCGCAACTATTTGCTCAAATGTACCAATATGTACTGTTCAACCACTTAAAAGTTCATGTTTTGTATTACTGAATTAGTTCAAATGGCATTCTACAAACTCAGAAATGTAACTAAAGAACCTAATCTAACCTGTTCAATCAATCCTAGGCCTAATATAACACACACGTACATTATACTAGGCCCAAGAATGTTTAAGTCTGGTTTTAGTTTTTGCTCAGACCATAACATTAAAAAAAAATAAAATAAAATAAAATAAAAGAGTACAAAATGTGAATTTTTGGGTCCAACAGTACATATTGGTAGAAATGTCCAAATAAGTTCTTAAAATACAGTACAGTAGTACAATCATTTTAGGAGGATGGGCTGCTGTAATCAGATTCTTGGCAATTGTATTATTATTATTATTATTATTAATAAAACATTAGTTATGGAGAAAAAATAGCTAATATGGAGATATGAAGAAACATTTACAATAATTATTCAGAAAACACTAATCTGTTTTGGAAGGGCGGGCAAGAAGATAGACTGGCGGACGGGTTAATGGATGTGTTAAATGGTAAGGAGATAAGACATACATGAAGAGAACATTTTAAAGTTAAATACATTGAACTGATGAAAGAGGTGGTAATAATAAACACAATTTGATTCGATGGCAAGAGAAAAATGCAAGATGGTATCGGATACCATCTTGCAGTCACCTGGGACACCAGGTATCCTAGTTGGCATATTTATGGAAGAAACGTTGCATAGATATGGGAGCAGAAATGGGGGTAAAGATGCAGGTGTTGTTGAGGTATATGCAATAATTTTATGTAATAGAGAAAAAATAATTACATAGGTGTGCACAGTCTCACAAAAGGCATGGGGCTGTGGCACAGTTCCAGAGGATCACAACACAGGTCTGACTGTACTACTGAATAAAAATACAAGTCACTATAACATAATGAATAACAATTATAGAGGCATTAGTTTATTTAGTGAGCCAAGTGATGGTTAAAGAGTACAGAAAAATACTAATCAGTGATGAACAACACAGGTTCCGTGGTGGGAAAAGCGTGTATATAGTCCAGAGATTCCCAGTGAGGCAAATTGTAGAGCAGATGTGTGACGGAGTGGAAGGTGTTCATGGCATTTATTGACTTGGTAAATGCACACGATGAAGGTAATAAAGAAGGAATTTGGAGTCGTGAACATGCATGGATTTAGCAGAATATTGTTCAATGCTGTGAAAGTTTGCATGCAGGTATTCTAGGGTTGTGTGACGTCATCCCCGGTTGTTTACTGTATACATGCAAGTATTCTAGGGTTGTGTGACGTCATCCCTGGTGGTTTACTGTATACATGCAAGTATTCTAGGGTTGTGTGACGTCACCCCTGGTGGTTTACTGTATACATGCAAGTATTCTAGGGTTGTGTGACGTCACCCCTGGTGGTTTACTGTATACATGCAAGTATTCTAGGGTTGTGTGACGTCACCCCTGGTGGTTTACTGTATACATGCAAGTATTCTAGGGTTGTGTGACGTCACCTCTGGTGGTTTACTGTATACATGCAAGTATTCTAGGGTTGTGTGACGTCACCCCTGGTGGTTTACTGTATACATGCAAGTATTCTAGGGTTGTGTGACGTCACCTCTGGTGGTTTACTGTATACATGCAAGTATTCTAGGGTTGTGTGACGTCACCCCTGGTGGTTTACTGTACTCACCTAGTTGTACTCACCTAGTTGTGCTTGCGGGGGTTGAGCTCTGGCTCTCAACTGTCAATCAACAGGTTTACAGGTTCCTGAGCCTACTGGGCTCTATCATATCTACATTTGAAACTGTGTATGGAGTCAGCCTCCACCACATCACCTCCTAATGCATTCCGTTTGTCAACCACTCTGACACTAAAAAAGTTCTTTCTAATATCTCTGTGGCTCATTTGGGCACTCAGTTTCCACCTGTGTCCCCTAGTGTGTGTGTGTGCCCCTTGTGTTAAACAGCCTGTCTTTATCAACCCTGTCGATTCCCTTGAGGATTTTGAATGTGGTGATCATGTCCCCCCTGTATACATGCAAGTATTCTAGGGTTGTGTGACATCACCCCGGGTGGTTTACTGTATACATGGATGGGGTCGTGAGAAGCAAGAGGCGGGTAAACAAGAGGTGTAACACTTGTGTATAAAAATAATGAGTAATTAGAGTATGTCTGATTAAATGAACGAAAATGATATAGTTCATTAAGAAGAGTTAAATAGAACTATGTAGACTGAAAATTGGGGAGGAAGATTAGGAGGGGAGAGAGGAGGGAAGATTAGGAGGGGAGAGAGGAGGGAAGATTAGGAGGGGAGAGAGGAGGGAAGATTAGGAGGGGAGAGAGGAGGGAAGATTAGGAGGGGAGAGAGGAGGGAAGATTAGGAGGGGAGAGAGGAGGAGGGGGAGAGAGGAGGAGGGGGAAGAGAGGAGGAGGGGGAAGAGAGGAGGAGGGGGAAGAGAGGAGGAGGGGGAAGAGAGGAGGAGGGGGAAGAGAGGAGGAAGGGGAAGAGAGGAGGAAGGGGAAGAGAGGAGGAGGGGGAAGAGAGGAGGAGGGGGAAGAGAGGAGGAGGGGGAAGAGATTAGGAGGGGGAAGAGATTAGGAGGGGGAAGAGAGGAGGAGGGGAGAGGAAGAGGAGGAGGGGAGAGAGGAGGAGGAAAAGGGGAGAGAGGAGGAGGAGGAGGGGGAGAGAGGAGGAGGAGGGGAGAGAGGAGGAGGAGGGGAGAGAGGAGGAGGAGGGGAGAGAGGAGGAGGAGGGGAGAGAGGAGGAGGAGGAGGAGGGGAGAGAGGAGGAGGAGGAGGAGGGGAGAGAGGAGGAGGAGGAGAAGGGGAGAGAGGAGGAGGAGGAGGGGAGAGAGGAGGAGGAGGGGGAGAGAGGGAGTGAGAGGGGAGAGAGGGAGTGAGATGGGAGAGAGAGGGGAGGGGAGTGAGTGAGAGGGGAGGGGAGTGAGAGGGGAGAGAGGAGGAGGGGAGAGAGGGAGTGAGAGGGGAGGGGAGTGAGTGAGAGGGGAGGGGAGTGAGAGGGGAGAGAGGGAGTGAGAGGGGAGGGGAGGTGAGAGGGGAGAGAGGGAGTGAGAGGGGAGGGGGAGTGAGAGGGGAGGGGGAGTGAGAGGGGAGGGGGAGTGAGAGGGGAGGGGGAGTGAGAGGGGAGGGGGAGTGAGAGGGGAGGGGGAGTGAGAGGGGAGGGGGAGTGAGAGGGGAGGGGGAGTGAGAGGGGAGGGGGAGTGAGAGGGGAGGGGGAGTGAGAGGGGAGGGGGAGTGAGAGGGGAGGGGGAGTGAGAGGGGAGGGGGAGTGAGAGGGGAGGGGGAGTGAGAGGGGAGGGGGAGTGAGAGGGGAGAGAGGGGGAGTGAGAGGGGAGAGAGAGGGAGTGAGAAGGGAGGGGGAGTGAGAGGGGAGGGGGAGTGAGAGGGGAGGGGGAGTGAGAGGGGAGGGGGAGTGAGAGGGGAGGGGGAGTGAGAGGGGAGGGGGAGTGAGAGGGGAGGGGGAGTGAGAGGGGAGGGGGAGTGAGAGGGGAGGGGGAGTGAGAGGGGAGGGGGAGTGAGAGGGGAGGGGGAGTAAGAGGGGAGGGGGAGTGAGAGGGGAGGGGGAGTAAGAGGGGAGGGGGAGTGAGAGGGGAGGGGGAAGAATGGAAGAGACATGGAACAATCAGGAAAAAGCAGAAAAGGGAATAGTAATGAAAATGATTTTCAAAATGAAAATTTAATGTTTATCACTATCTCACTATCCTATTCTAGAAATGCGGTCTTATGAAATCTAGGCCAAATAAACTATGCTATTGTATAACTAAAGGTCCCCCCCCCCGCCCCTCTATTATGTACTCTATTAGTGAACGACAATTACGTTAGAGGACTCATTTGCTGACTTACAAGTTCGTACTGTTAAACATAGAAGTGGGTTGACAACAGAGGTGGTAGTCAAAATCAATTCCTTCCCAATCTAATTCAAATAAAGATTCTAAGAGATTCATTATGGGTCAATAAGCCAGATAAAGCTTAGGTGGGAGTACCTCAGTTTCCATGACAGTAGTGAGAAGTTGACGCTGCAGCTCCAAGACGTCCTTCTCCCTCAGAATGGCAGAGATGCGTTGCTTATTTGGCTGGACCTTCAAGCGTGCCCCCTTCAGGAGGCTCACCGGCATGCTCAACCCACCGTCCGCCTTCCCGGCTCTTCTCTCTCTCTCAATCACTACTCGATCACTGCCCTTCTTCACCGCATCGCCACAAGTGACGAAGGTTGAATCCTTGACGTTGTCACTGGTGGGGCTAAGGTCTTTATAATTAGAGTTCTGATCTTTATCACCGTTATCTCTTTGACTGGAAGCTATACTATATTCTTTTTGTGAGTGCCTCTGAGTCCGATCGCGAATTGGTACTTTGAGGACCCTAGGCAGGAACACGTCGCGGTCAGTGTTGAGGCGGACACTAGATGCACTACGGACTACCCGAGCTCTAGACGTTCCTCCAACACCGTGAAACTCTTCAGCACCATCTCCACTGGCAACACTTACGGTCACTGCAGGAGGTACTCGACGAGGTTTGGTGAAGTTAGTGGTAGTGGTTGTAGCAGTGGTGCTGTCACTCACAATATGAACAGTGTTCACTCCTCCCATTACTGAGTGAACAATACCACCTGTGGATGCTGGACCATCCCGTCGAACACCATTACTTTTAACAAACTGCAAGTTCAGGTCATTGCCATAATCAATTCTAGGATCTACTCGAGGATCGAGTCGCGGATCGAGTCGTGGATCGAGTCGTGGATCGAGTCTTAGTGCTCTAAATTGGTCTTCAAGGCGCCGTTTATCACCCGCCAAGGCCAAAAGCTGCCCGTGGAGATCAAGCAGACGTTGATGGGATGCAGCTGCCTCGGCTTCGGCCCAGCTTACTCGGCCAACTAAATATTGGCGGTCTTGTCGTAAGCGGTCCACAGCTGCCCATGCCTCTGCCTCCATAGCCATGCCCACCTGTGGAGGAGGGGGAGGCGGCGCCAATATATCCCCACGGTTGTGATAGTTGCCAATGGGCCCTGGTAGAGAATGCGGCCAATAATCTCGATATGCAGGATGTGATCTGGGAGATGCTAGGGGATCTGAAGCAGAGCTGCCCGTTGGAGGTTGCTGCCCGATTCGATCTCGCTCCAGACGTTCTGCTCTCTCTAATTCATTTCGTAATCGAGTTCCCTTCCTTTGAATGACATCAAGTAACTGCCACAATTCATCTTCAGCAGACCCGAGTGGAAGCTCTGGCTCAACAGAAGTCCAACGGTGCTCTTCTACACCAGATAAATGATCACCAGCCGACGAGGAGGAGCTCTTGCCCATGCTGCCTCCAGCTTTATCTGTGCTGAAGCCCGAGTCTGCCACTGCTGAGCTACTGTGCGTCTCACTAAGAGACTTCCCGCCAGTACTGCTGCTGCTACTGCTGTTCCCACTGCCGCCAGTGGTGGTCACCCCTGCTGCTCCTCCTCCTGCTGTAGATATGGGGCGCTGCTGCCTCCCACCCTCACCAGGGGTCACGTGGTGGGAGGCGTGAGACAACTTACTAGGGGATGGTTCCCCCCTAGTTGAAGGGACAGCCTGGAGAGGCTGGGAGGCGTGGCTAGACAGCGGGCCATGGGCAGGGTTGAGGGAGTTGTAGGGCCGGGCGTGCAGGTGCGGGAAGGCGTGCAGCACATTGTCGCGGAATTCCAGAAGCGACGTCACCTCGTGCTGTAGTTCCTGCAACAACAACAAGTGTTTACATCTTGCCGAAATATGAACATTTATGTTAAATACATTTAATTGTAATGACTACTGGCATATGCTTATTTTATTAACAAATTTACATTAATTGTATATTCTTTAACCACTATCAAAAGCTCACTGAAGACTGTAAACATTGGTAAATGGCTAAACTTTTAACACACACAGAAATAACAACAATTTCAGATATTCAATTAATCTGTGAAAGGATCTAAACAGTGCTTATTTAAGCCTCAATTTAAAAAAACACTGCCAGTTGCACGGCAATTTCATTACACCTTTAATGAAAAAAGTTATCTATGAGACAATTAATTGTATGTACAGTATTATACGATGATTTGCCAGAGGCGTGCCACAAGTTAAGCAGTGAACTGGGAAAACCAGATATTATTGAACAAATCCACAAGGGCCGTGACGAGGATTCGAACCTGCGTCCGGGAGCATCCCAGACACGGCCTTACCAGATATTATTGGTATCCTCTGTCAAGAGCGACGAGCTGTGTGGAACATGTAAGCCTTCTTGATGACAATCACCTGCCAGAAAATATTAAAGACAAGCAACTGTAACCATTAACCACTATTTACTCAACTGTACTCCGCTTGAGCAGCCAAGACAGCACCAATGATAACACAGCATCACTGGCAGATGCCAGCGATGCTGTGGAACAAGTGAAGACAATCCCCAGGGAACTGGACGTGACAAAATCAATGGGCCCGAGACCTAATCTCACACCACGGCAGCTGAGGAAGGCTGCACACAGTTCTTTTAGAGAACTCTGTCGCCCGCTCTCTAAAAGCTTTGTTAAAACTGTTGAGACAGGAAGTCTCCAGATGTGTTCCTTCTAAAGTGCTGGAGAAAGTAATCTGGTGGAGCATCTTGAGAGGATGTGACAAAAACAAAAAAATAAGCATACATTAAGAAACGCAAAATCGTGCCTGACAAATTTGAGTTTTATGACAAGGTTACTGAAGTTAGACAGGAGAAGGAAGGCTGGGTGGTCTGTGTTTCAAGACTGTCAGAAGGCATTTGACACGGTTCCCCACGAAGGACTATTGAACAAGATGGAGAACTGTCATGAATGGGGATGCAGTACTAGACTGTAAACATGGGGGAAAGAGAAGGAGGGTAAGGGGGGGGGGGAGGTGGGGAAGAGCCCTGACCACTACCCACAAAGGATCCCTCCAACCACAGTGAATACTAGCATTATCCTCACTTTAATAAGACCTATCAAAATCCTCAGATTAGGCAAAATTGTAATTAATTTTGTCAATTAAGATGTTAATAATAATAATCCAACTTTAGGGTATCCTTGGGTTATCTTGAGATGATTTCGGGGCTTTTTAGTGTCCCCGCGGCCCGGTCCTCGACCAGGCCTCCACCCCCAGGAAGCAGCCCGTGACAGCTGACTAACACCCAGGTACCTATTTTACTGCTAGGTAACAGGGGCATAGGGTGAAAGAAACTCTGCCCATTGTTTCTCGCCCACGGGATGGGTATGGGGTGCATAATAAAGAAAGAAATTGAAATTGTGGCTTTTTGAGGTTATCTTGAGATGATTTCGGGGCTTAGCCTCTCCGCGGCCCGGTCCTCGACCAGGCTTCCTTTTTGTTACCCCCCCCCCCCCAGGAAGCAGCCCGTAGCAGCTGTCTAACTCCCAGGTACCTATTTACTGCTAGGTGAACCAGATTAGTGTGAAAGAAACTCCACTCCATTTGTTTCCCGCCTCCACCGGGGATCGAACCCGGAACCTTAGAACTACGAATCCCGAGCGCTGTCCACTCAGCTGTCAGGCCCCTAATTAGGCTTGAGCTGAGATGGTTTAAACAAGATATTAATCTTAATGGTAAAGATCTTCTCAAGTATAAATGAACTCACGTTGAAGGGTGAGGGGGGGATGTACTCACCTAGTTGGACTCAGCGTGAGAGTGAGGGGACGAGTGAGGGGGTGGGAGAGAGTGAGAGAGAGGGGCAGGGGGGTGGGAGAGAGTGAGAGGGGCAGGGGGTGAGAGGGGAGGGGAGGGGCAGGGGGTGGGAGAGAGTGAGAGAGAGGGGCAGGGGGGGTGAGAGAGAGTGAGAGGGAGGGGCAGGGGGGGGTGGGTGAGAGTGAGAGAGAGGGGCAGGGGGGGGTGGGTGAGAGTGAGAGAGAGGGGCAGGGGGTGGGAAACAGTGACAGAGAGGGGCAGGGGGTGAGAGAGAGTGAGAGGGGCAGGGGGGTGGGAGAGTGTGAGAGAGAGGGGCAGGGGGTGAGAGAGAGGGGCAGGGGGGGTGGGAGAGAGAGAGGGAGGGGCAGGGGGGTGGGAGAGAGTGAGAGGGAGGGGCAGGGGGGTGGGAGAGAGTGAGAGGGGCAGGGGGGTGGGAGAGAGTGAGAGAGAGGGGCAGGGGGTGAGAGAGAGGGGCAGGGGGGTGGGAGAGAGTGAGAGAGAGGGGCAGGGGGTGAGAGAGAGGGGCAGGGGGGTGGGAGAGAGTGAGAGGGAGGGGCAGGGGGGTGGGAGAGAGTGAGAGGGAGGGGCAGGGGGTGGGAGAGAGTGAGAGGGAGGGGCAGGGGGGTGGGAGAGAGAGAGAGAAAGCAGTAAGATAATGAGGTGTGATGAGGAAGGTGCAGGAAGTAAAGAGTGATATTATATGCCCTCCAGGCGGGGGGCTTGGGGGGGCCACGCTCCCCCTGCCACTAACCCCCACTGTCACCATTCACCCCCCACATGCTGCTTACCACCACACACACATACATATGTATCCATATTATATATATATATGTATACACATTAGGTAACAACTTAAGACGAAGCCAGCGCCAAGGGACAAGAACACTACCAAGATGGTTCAACTCTCCGTTCCACAAGATGTCGCCTTCCAAGACATACATATTATACAACGTCTTAAAAATTACCAGAGGAATTAGAAAAGAGCGCGCTGACTACATGTAACGACATAATTGACCACTGCTGCGCCGCCAGTGTACAAGCGGTGCGATAATTTGAATCACGTTAACGCCGTTACCAGGGCGCCAAAACCCATCCTGCCCGTGGCCACGACTTCGGCTACCATCCACCTGCGAACGGATTTCATATTATAGAAGCGGATGCTATGTTTTACATGTTGGTTTATGACAAGTGGGCGAAGCCAAGGAATAACCACGGAATAATAACCACGGAATGACAGATACAACCAAACATGTTTCTTGGCAAACTGTTCGAACATGAAGCCACAAGAAGTTCATCTCCGTCAGAAATGTCAGGAAGCCAAACACCCGCGACACTTGTTATAGCAGCTACGTCTCGACCACATAGTAGGCGGTACGGACAAGTTGTACACACTGTGAGCGTGTAATTATCTAAGTGTAATTACCTAAGTATAGTTACAGGATGCAATCCGTCCTCGACTCAAGTCCATTACACCCAGCGGTCAACCCCACAGACGCATTCATAAATTTTAACATGCTGTTCATTCAAAACAGGAATTTTCTCAAGTATAAATTATTATTATAACATATTAGCACATTGTGCATATATAGGCATAGGACAGGTTAGGTGTTTAGGTTCTGTTGGTGATTATTTGTATTTGTAGTACGTGGGTGAAGCATTTACAGCGTTGTTGTTCGAACAAAATTCGTCAGTGAAACACTTGCTCCGGATATGTTCGAACGTCAGCAGTTGTGAGTCTTGTGTAAACCGCTTTTCATTCATAAACAGGGAGTTTGGTGGGTGGATGGAATCACTTTTGGATCTTTGTTTGGAGGACGGGCTGCAGGATGAGAGCTACGCTCGTGGTGTCCCGTCTTCCCAGCACTCTTTGTCATATAACACTTTGAAACTACTGACGGTCTTGGCCTCCACCAACACCTCACCTAACTTGTTCCAACCGTCTACCACTCTGTTTGCGAAAGTGAATTTTCTTATATTTCTTCGGCATCTGTGTTTAGCTAGTTTAAATCTATGACCTCTTGTTCTTAAAGTTCCAGGTCTCAGGAAATCTTCCCTATTGATTTTATCAATTCCTGTTACTATTTTGTACGTAGTGATCATATCACCTCTTTTTCTTCTGTCTTCTAGTTTTGACATATTTAGTGCCTCTAACCTCTCCTCGTAGCTCTTGCCCTTCAGTTCTGGGAGCCACTTAGTAGCTTGTCTTTGCACCTTTTCCAGTTTCTTGATGTGTTTCTTAAGATATGGGCACGACACAACTGCTGCATATTCTAGCTTTGGCCTAACAATGTGAGAGTGTGAGTGCGTGTGCGTGTGCGCGTGCGTGCGAGCGACACTGTACACCGTAGACGGGGCCACGGTGGCTGCGACAGGACACCCAACACGCTGCGGACCTCACCCAACACCACTCATAAACTCCCTGGTCCTCCTCCCTCATCTTTCACAGCCGCCATCATCGTTATCTCAGCGCCCTCCACCTCCCCCTCGACCCCTGGCCGCATCGTCACCACGTCCACTACCCTCTTCCACTCAACACAACCCAACCTTCGCAACTTCCAAACCCCAAAAAAGTACCTAATTTCATCCTCATAGTTTCCTACCTCGTGGTTCACACTGTGTATTGTACGACCCACTTCCCCAAAGTGTGTTAGTGGCTAATATTCACTCTTCTAGTGAATAAAATTATTAATATTATTAACTGTTTACATGAAGCAATCTGTGCACAGTTACTGTGGGTAAGTGTATCTGGTACACGGACTCCGTCACGGCACTCGACGCGACGTTGTTTTCAGCACGCTCCCCGCCTCCACAAACATTCACTCGCGATGTTATTACACTCCACACAGCTCTGACACTGTGTTATACGGGCTAGTCATGCCCGTGCCGCCTCTTGGGTGGCTTGATCAATCAATCAGTCACACACCGTGTTCCCCTCCTGCCTCCTACAACACCTCTATCACCTCCCTACCCACCAACTTTGGGGGGAAGCTTCAAGAGTCATCAATTTGTAATTGTTACAATTATTATTTAATAAAGCTCACAGAGTAGACTTA